TTAACGTCCTCCATTCATTCCAGCTATTGTGCGTGCCCGTATCCTGAGAGGAATACTACACATAGCTCCCACGTGCGCATTCTATTTTCACGTTTTACACAATATGGTGTTATACTGAACCCAACAAAATGCATTTTCGGTGTCTCATCCTTAGAATTCCTAGGTCATAAGATTACTTCCCGAGGCATTCTCCCAGTCTTCTAAGATTACAGCCATTCAGGACTTCCCCGTTCAACTTTTGTCAAACAACTTAAATCGTTTTTGGGTTTGATTGATTACTATCGCCGTTTTATCCCAATTTTGCTTCCATCCTTCATGCTCTCACTAATTTGCTCCGCGGTAATGCAAAAGACGTTGTCTATAATCCTGAGGCGCTTAAAGCTTTTTACACCAAAATCAGCCCTCCAGGACGGCATGTTGTTTCACCTTAACTCATCACTATCCGCTCAAATAGCGCTGCACACCGACGCGTCGAATCATGCCGTTGGAGTGGCCTTCCATCGAATAGTCAGAAACGTACAGCAGCCCTTAGCTTTCTATTCACAGAAGCTTCCAACATCCCAAACTAACGACAACACCTTTGGTCGCGAAATACTGGCGGTATATTTTGCCATTCAACATTTTTACGAACTCCTCGAAGGTCATGAATTCACCATGATGACTGAACACAAACCACTGGTGTTTCTCTCCGTGCACGTTTTCATCGCTACTCTCTGCGCGCAATTCGTCCCTTGGATTTCATTTCTCAATTTCCCACCAATATCCGACACATCAACGAATCACACAACACCGTCGCAGCCGCCTTCTCTCGGCTCAACATCAATAGTATGGTTACACCATCCGATATCAGCCTAGTGACCATCTCACAATATCAATCCAGTGACCCTCATTTCGGAGACCTGCTCAAATCCACCTCACTACGTTGGTGCATATAAAACCGACCCCAACACGCCAACACAAGTGGCTGATGATTTGCACTCATGTAGCCAAGTTTTCATTCGTTGCGACGCTACACGTCAACCAATCCAAGCACTATACACCGGACCATACAGAGTAATTTCTCGTTCCGATAAACATTTTGTTTTGGATCGTAAGGGAACGCATGACTCGGTGAACATCTATCGTCTAAAGCCCGCGTTTCTCGATTTATCATTTGATTTACCCATCACACAAACGCCACATATTCCTGCATCCACAAAAAGTTATCCAACAAACACTACACACACTTCTCCAACTATCCCACCGTCTACACGAGCATTTACAACTCCAACCGTTCCACGTACAACAAGTCTTGGTAGAAAAGTACACTTTCCTGCTCGTTTTCTTTGACAATTCGCTTTAAATCTTGCCTTTATCGAGTATTCAGTTTGCACTTTCGCTCTAGAAGAGGGGGGGGTGTACTGTAGCGTCTTACTTTTCTGTAAACATTTCAATGACATCATTGTACAACTTGTTCTAATGGGCATAATCCGTTACAACGCAACATAAACTGTTCTTGACTATGCACGTATTCGCCAAATGTTACGGAAGCATCACGCGCGTAATGTACCCCATTGTACGGTGAAAGCCGGACAATAGCAGACGTTTGCCGGACACCATTTCTCCTCTACAATCTAAATGTATGTTAACATTTTTACTTCGGTACCAACGCCATGTGAAGTTTGTTTTATACGATCGAAAACTGCTGTATCTATCCGCTAGAGAACTTTCACTTTTCGCTTTCGATCTGTTTTGCTCGTTACCGCGCTCGTTGGTTCTCTTGCCTTCGTGCCTTAATGCAAACTCTCGTTAGCCGGTGCCGGTACGTTCTCTGGACCACGGTACCTCAATGCACGTCTACAACAACCACAAGTCTTCTGGTTTAGCCAGTGGTAACTTGGTTGTTCGGTATCCCGGGGTCTAGTTCTAAAGTGCGTCACGGCCGGTCGTAGTCGATGTTTCTCCATGCGTACATCATGAGTTATCGTCAAGCGTTCCGTTAACTGTCGCAGCCATCCTTTTCAGCCACACTGCGCATTATCAACCGGAGCCACACTTCCGAGGAACAGGACCCATCAACCGACCGGATAATCTTTCTGTGAGTGCGTTTCATGTAGCTTTTAATTTCATTATTATTCGTTTATGTAGCATCGTTTCTACTACTCCTCGTTAGGCTGGTATCGGTAGCTATTGCTCCACGAAGTATGCGTCCATATGCTGACGTACTATCCTTTTTACGCATTTGCTCAGGGCCGCGTCAGGCTTACTTGTCTGTGCAAAGTAACAACTATCGCTCTTTTCCGATCTCTCTCCTTTATCAAGCGCTACCTAAAACAGATTGCCCAGAGGTCCTTCGATTATCCCCGCGATAGGTTTGACAATAGCCTAGGAATGTCATCCGGTTCCACACTCCGTTGAAACTAACTCCTGGAGAACTGGGTCATATATCAGATGTTACTGGAGCACTTTTATCCACAATTTAAATTGTTAGTCCGTTATTAATAAAATCCATCAAGATTGTAGCAACAGTTTACTGAAAACAAATGTGGTAGATTGCAGGGGTTTATAATTCAACATTGAAAGAAGACGGATGCATATAGTCTGTTGTAAGGGATGGAGAAGATCAGATAGGAATGGTCAGATTTGTATTCGGTAGGTGAACTGAATTAGCTCATCATTTTCATTTCCAATATCACATTATTCGCGAGATGCCGATATAAGTGTATAAATATATAGAGAGGTATATGTATTTATATGCATGAATATAATAGCGTGTCGCTCAAAACTATGCCCTGTAGTTGGCGAGAGATTGAGTTGGTGGTTAGTGGAAGGCTTGCTTACACGATGCATCGTATCTTATGAAAAAAGTAACGTATTCCCTGTGGAAACAATCGGGACGGAATTCTGATGCCTGATCGGTGTTGCTCTCACAACCGTTGCGGATTCATCGGACGTTCTACTAGTCAGACTATCCGTTCGTTCGCGAACTGCCTTGCGGGCATCCGGTTCGTACGTTATCTGTGGGTGAATCGGGAGATATGGGAACGATTGTTTATCTAATTGTGCGTGTATTCATTCTTACGTCAAATGAAAAATAAATGAGTTCAAGTGACGGATGACAGTGCGATTGAACATTTATTCGGCAGTTCACGCACTACTCGTTAGTGGTTTGTGTAAAGTCCAATTTCTTACTTTTGTCTCTGAACATTCATGCTGAAGGATAAAAATATTAACACAGTTTACTTTCGCATCACTGTATTCACCGAATTGTTTTTTGTATTTTATAATTGCTGGGTGCTGATTTGATTTATTTCCTACAAAGATGTTCAATGCACCTTACCATGCACTATTTAACTTTGCCGGCTAACATCTTGAAATGTTTCTTCATTAGAAAACCGAACGACCGCGTGTGTTCAAACCGATTATTTTCAGCTCGCCTAATTTGTGACGACTTCAGAAGGTTTATTGTTGCTTGTTATCCGGTAAGCAAATGCACTAACTTGAGTTACATGGGGTCTGCTGACTTCGGTTGTCCCTCAATGTTTTCAATCGTAAATGACCTACATTATATAGTGAACAAGTTCGTTTGCGGTGTTTCTTCTACAGACTAATGCATCACAATTTATATCAAACTGTTTTGAAAGGAGGGGAGGGGGTAGAGAATCATGACAAGTTGGAAAAGAAATCATTAACGTTCCAGTTCCATGACCGGATGATGTTGCTCACACTTTGGTCCTCAACATTCGGTCAGGGAACTGGAATGTTGATTATTTCTTTTCCAACTTGTCATAATTTCTCTCACCTGCCTTATAAACAATTTGATATAAATTGTGATGTATAAGCCTGTAGAAGAATCACCGCAACAGAGTTTGTTCGCTATTCTATGTTTTTTTACAATGTGCAAGCATGGTATACCCGGACAATTATACAGTGAGTGCAACATTTAACGTCCTAATCGATCATAAAGATGTCAGCTGTAGGAACCTTTGGTTTTGAAGACCACATATCTGGCACATAACATGGTAATCCACACAGATACGTGTATGCTTGACACCACGAAAATACCATCTTGCCGTTCTCCCCCACTACTTTCCCCAGGTCAATAAACTGTAATAAGAAATCAGCACGTCATCGAATTCAAACAAAATATAAGGAGATATAAAGGATCGACGGCGGATGGTAAATTAATTTCATTGAGTATTTGGTCTGTTTATATGTTCCTAGGTATTAGACATATCACCAAAAAAAGCAAAAATGAAGAGAGTTGTGTCTCTCAAATCAACAGTGCATTAACTGAACCCAGAGAAAAACTTTGGCACAGTTTACACAGATAAAATCAAATAAATACCCCACGGATCGCCATAAATAAAATTACCATAATTTATACCCTTCGATCTAAACGTAATACCACTTGTTCAAACCAATAACTGGAAATTCACATAGTAAGTGTGAGCTAAGAGTTCTACAAGTTAATGTGCACGTGCGGAAATCAATGGGGCCAAATTCAATGGTACAGCGTTTCCAAATTTGTTCTGCTATAAACGTTGAGATCATCATTTTTCTAACTGATTGATAATCTTGCTGGTTGGTGTCATGCCTAATAAGCATGGTGAGGCACCTTGGAAAAGCTGTACTGTGACCGTTTCTAAGTGATCTGGAGTTACTGTGCTTGCACATCATCATTAGTTTCTCATCACATAAGCCTCCGAAAGCCTCACTATGGTTGGGGGTGGGTGTCCTTGGTTGCGGCTGGTCACTCTTCCCTTGCACCTCACGAAATGCTCGCATACGACCAAGAGTCTCGAATAGTTTCTGCTGAGGAAGCTCATTCTCACTGCCTTCTCGTGGCGATGTTTTCGCACCCAAGTGAGAGGACCAGAAGCCAACATCCGGGGCTGTAACCGGGTTGTTAGACCGCTGGCAGTTCAATTTAGGGGAGTTGGTCAAAACCTCTGATTCCAAACCAACCATGAGGAGGCGTACGAACCACACACACAACTTCCTGTCTGTGGCAGTGGTCACCAGCTCGACTGGGCATCGAGGCGTACTAGGCACCTTGAACGCTTGACA